TGATAATAATGATCGTCATACTGATAATAATGACATTCTTGTTAATAATGATAATGGTGTTAATAATGATAATGATGTTCATAATAATAATGAAAATGATATTAATACTAATGATAATGATGATATCAATGCTAATAACGATAATGATATTCATGATCATAATGATAATGATATTGATATTAATGACAATAATAACATCAATGCTAATAATCATAGCGATATTCATGCTAACACTAATGCTAGTGATAATAGTGATAACAAAGATAATAATGTCAATAATAATATTTATGATGCAAAGAGCGAGATTGACAATGACACTACTATAACCACTGCTATTACTACTACTATTGTAGCTTTTGTTACTATTTCTGTTGCTACTAATACTATTAATAGGGATGGTAGTACTGATAACGATAATAATAGTGATAATGGTAATAATGGGAGTTATAACAATGGTAATAATAACAATAATGATAATGATTTCAATGATGATAATTATCTTAATAATGATAATAGTAATGACAAGATTGTTAATTATGATAATAATAATGATGATGATAAGAGTAATCTCAAAAGTCACGATAATAATGATAATAATGAAAATGTTAAAAATAGTAGTAGTAATGATAATGATGATGATAATTATAATAAAAATAATGGTGATGATAATAATAACAACAATAATAACAATAATAATAACAATAATAATGATACTGGCTATAATGATTATGAGAGTCATGATATCATTATTAATATCATCATTGTCGTTTTCATTATGAACATCACTAAAACTATTCTCATCATTGGTATCTACCTCAAACTATACCACAAGCTTTTATTGCAATCAACATTAGATTCAATCAACACGAACTGATTACATAACATCACATTAAATATGAAAAGCAATTCACAACAATACTGACAATCCGGTATATAATTTTATTGTAATTAACATCAGATTAAAGAATAAAAAAATAATAACAATACTTACAGTCCAGTATGACTCCAGTTATTGTAGTTGAGTGGCACTGTGCCATACGTGTTGGAGGGCCACTGAAACACCCCGTTGAAGTCTCTCACGCCGGCTGTCCAGATCCAGGCCAGGTTGTCTGTAGAAGGAGGAATTGTGTAAGAAAAAGAATAAATAATGATATACAGGAACAACAACAATAATAACTACTAGAATACTACTAGAACAATAATAACAACTAGAACAAGAACAACAACAAAAACTACAACAACAAAAACAAAAATTGCGTAAGAAATGTTGAAGAGGAAAAAACAACAATAATAACTAGAACAGGAACAAGAACAATAACAAAAACTACAACAACAAAAACTGTAAGAAAACGAATGTTGTAGAGGAAAAAATATGTGGAGATTTGTGTGAGAAAAGGAACTTGTGTAAAGAAAGAAAAAGAATTAAAAAAATAAAAATAAAAGGAAAATAACAATAATGGAGGAAGGAAAAATAAGATAATGGTTGCTAGGAGGGAAAATTTGCATAGATACTTGTGTGAAAAAGGTAATTCAATCTTATCTGTAAAAAAGCGATTTGTGGAATAGTCCTTCACTAGTCCTCCCCCCTCCCATCTTTCCCTCTCTTCCCCCCTCCTCCCCCTTCCTCCCTCTCTCCCCCAACAGACCCCCCCCCACACCCCATACCCCCCGAAACTTACGTCCTCCAACGATCTGGGAGACGAGCTGGTCCTCCTGCGAGGTCTCGATGCTCACGCCGTTCCAGCCGGGGCCGAGGGCTCTGCAGTAGGCGACGGCCCTATCCTGCGTGTAGTTCTGGAAGCCGTCGTGGCACCAGGAGAAGTGGTAGCGGCTCCCGAGGGCCTGGTGGTCCACCTGGAGGGGGAGGGAGGGAGAGATGGAGGGGTGAATGTGGGCTGATGGGACAGTGTGCGTGTGTGTGTGTGTCTGTGTGTGTGTGTACATATATACATATACTTATTCATTATATATATATAATTTCCACAATTTCCCTGGTTGCACCTTAGAGTCAAAAGGAATTATATGTCCTCAAACAACGAAACAAAAGTCCGGAAGCGTCGCGAGCGCCCGGCCGCCCACTCACCACGCCCGGGGAGCAGATCGGGTACTGCGAGGTGAGTTGTGGTGCGGGTCTGACGGGGAACGGCCCGGCGGGTTGGGCGCCGGGTCTGCCGAAAGGTCGTCCTCCTGGTCTCACGGGCAGATTGACCCCCGGGCGGCCGGCGGAGGGGAAGATGATGGGGCCGCCGGACCCGAAGCCGCCCGACCCGTACGAGGCCGCCGCCACCGACCCGCCCACACCAGAAGAGCTTCCGAAGGCACCCACGCTCACGGGCCTTCCGAAACCCACGCCCGCGGAGCTTCCGAAGCCGCCCGCGGACGCCGAGCTGAAGCTGGCGGCGCCCACCGACCCGCTGTACTGGGCCTGCGCTGCCGCCGCCACCGTCAGGAGCACGAGCAAGGACCTCATCTGCAAGAGTGAAGCGCACAATGTCAGCTTCCTAAAGGGTTGTCATGTTTGCATCCGTGGTAGATTTCACAGTAGATTTCCACGGATAAACTGGCGGTAGATTACAGTGCAGTCTCATAGTTTTATACGAGAGATAAATAACAGCATATTCTCGTGTTTATACACAGTAAACTCTCATATTTACACGACTGGTAGATTACTGTTTTTTCATGTTTGCACTATTGGTAGGTCACAGTAGATTTCAAAGTGGGTTTCCATTTCCTAGTGCTAGATGACAAGAGAGTCTGATATTTATACTACTGGTAGATTCCCACGTTTATACTAATGGTAGATCACAGTAGAATCTATGTTACACTGTAGATTTTTATACTACTGGTAGAATATTGTAAATTCCCATGTCTATACTAGTGGTAGATTACAGGTTTTCATATTTACACTGCTAGTAGATTTTAGCCTCCCTCGACGCAGGTAAATTGAATCAAATTTCACACCTAGAACAACGTAGTCACTGTAATATTAGCATCACACCCTCTCCTCTCTCGGCAGGTTCTCAAACCGTCCACAACCCCTCCTCCCACACCCACAGACTTATCCTTCCTCCCACACACCCACAGACCCAACCTTCCTCCCACACACTCACAGACCCTCCTATTCCTCCTCCCACACACTCACAGACCCTCCTATTCCTCCTCCCACACCCCCACACACCCACAGATCCTCTCATCCCTCCTCCCACCTTGCACTCACCGTGTCTAGGAGATAAGTGAGCTGCGTCGACGCCAGCCGCGCTTATATACGCACGCCGTCTCTCAGGTGCCAGGTTCAAGGCCCGTCACGCTAGCTTGCTTACGGTGGTGTTGAGCAAGATTTTATGTGTTGTTCCTGGTTTCCTTGCTTGATTCGTGGTTGAGGAGGAGTTGTGTGGTTTTGTTTGGGTGTTGCTTGCCTGGAGGACTGTCTGGGTGTGGTCTGTGGTTGCGAAGGCGTTGATTGTCTGGTTGATTGATTGTTTTTTATTTTTGATGTGTTGCATTGCTTGCTTGCTTGTGAGTGTGGCTTGCTTGCATGGACGACTGTGTGTCTGGTTGATTGATTGTTGTTTTGGTGTGTGGTCTAGCTTGCTTGGGTTTGATTTTTTTGTTTCCTTGTTTTCTTTTGCATGCCTATTTGCTCGATCGCAATACCTTGTTGTTGTTTTTTGGATTTTGTTTGCTTGTTTATTTTCTTTGCTTGCGGTTTGCTTTACTTCTTGTTTAAATCTTCCCTTGCTTTATTTAAAGGTTTGCTTGCTCGCCCATCTTGATTCGTGATTGCATTACCTTGTTTACGCGTTTGCTTGCTCGTCTGCTTGATCTACTCATCCGCTTGTCAACCTGGTTTGCGTTGTGTTTGCTTGTGTCCTCCCTCAGCCGCTTGCCAAGCTGGTTTGCTCTAGGCGGGTCCGGTTGGGACAGAGTGTTGGATAAATACGTTTTTATTTTTAAATGTTATCACTGTTGTTGTTGTTATTATTATCGTTTTTCTTATTGTTGTTGTTGCTTTCATTATTATTATCATTCTTGTTGTTTTTGTTGCTGTTTTTGTTGTTGTTATTATTATTATTATTATTATTATTATATTATCATCATCATCATCATCATCATCATCATCATCATTATCATCATCTTCATCATCATTATCATCATCATCATTATCAACATTATTACTGTTATTATTATTATTTCTGCTGGATCCTCGAATTCCTTTCCTTTGTTTTATTTTTTGCAAAGGCTCATTGAAGAAGGTAATTAACATTTTTGAGAGAATCTTCATCAGTGACGAAGCATAATTATTTCCATGACAGATGACTTGGAAATTTCGGTAAAATCCGAATGCCACTGGAATGTGTGTTTTTTAATTTTGTTTGTCTGCCTGTCTGTTTGTTTATCTTTGTCTGTCTGTGTATGTCTGCTCTGTCTGTCTGTTTGTTTGTCTGTGTCTGCATGTCTGTCTGTCTTTTCGTTTGTCTGTGTATGTCTGCTCTGTCTGTGTATGTCTGCTCTGTCTGTCTGTTTGTTCGTCTGCTCTTTCTATCTGTTTATTTCTGTCTGTCTGTTTGTTCGTCTGTCTGTTCCGTCTGTATGCTTGTTCGTCTGTCTTTGTCTGTATGTTTGTCTGTCTTTTTGTTTGTCTGTATGTCTGTCTGTGTCTGTATGTCTGTTAGGCTTTCGAAAATTGCAAGACGATTGAAAACTAAAATAAAAGAAGAAAAGGAAGGGAAATCGGGCTGTATTATTGTCCATTCTTAATCATTTATCTACCCTATACCCCCCCCCCCCTCCCACCCCCTCCTCCCCTCCTCTTCTTCTTCTTCTTCTTCTTCCTCTTTTTCTTAATTTTCGTCTTCTTCTTCTTCCTCTTTTTCTTAATTTTCGTCTTCTTCTTCTCTTTCTCTCTCTCTCCCTCTCTCCCCCCCCCCTCTTAGGGAAAAAAGGATGACATTCGCATTTTTTTAGGCAATTGTGGGGCTATTTTCCGCAGGACTGTTTTCTATGTGTTTCTTCTTCTTCATCCTCTTTTTCGTAATTTTCGTCTTCTTCTTCTTCCTCTTTTTCTTAATTTTCGTCTTCTTCTTCTTCCTCTTTTTCTTAATTTTCGTCTTCTTCTTCTTCTTCTTCTTCTTCTTCTTCTTCATCTCCTTTACTTCATCACCATCATTATCCTCATCACCATCACAATCACCATCATTATCGTCATCACCATCACAATCACCATCATTATCGTCATCACCATCACAATCACCATCATTATCGTCATCACCATCACAATCACCATCATTATCGCCATCACCATCACAATCACCACCACCACCGCCATCACCATCACAATCACCATCATTATCGTCATCACCATCACAATCACCATCATTATCGTCATCACCATCACAATCACCATCATTATCGTCATCACCATCACAATCACCATCATTATCGTCATCACCATCACAATCACCATCATTATCGTCATCACCATCACAATCACCATCATTATCGTCATCACCATCACAATCACCACCACCACCGCCATCACCATCACAATCACCATCATTATCGTCATCACCATCACAATCACCATCATTATCGTCATCACCATCACAATCACCATCATTATCGTCATCACCATCACAATCACCATCATTATCGTCATCACCATCACAATCACCATCATTATCGTCATCACCATCACAATCACCATCATTATCGTCATCACCATCACAATCACCATCATTATCGTCATCACCATCACAATCACCATCATTATCGTCATCACCATCACAATCACCATCATTATCGTCATCACCATCACAATCACCATCATTATCGTCATCACCATCACAATCACCATCATTATCGTCATCACCATCACAATCACCATCATTATCGTCATCACCATCACAATCACCATCATTATCGTCATCACCATCACAATCACCATCATTATCGTCATCACCATCACAATCACCATCATTATCGTCATCACCATCACAATCACCATCATTATCGTCATCACCATCACAATCACCATCATTATCGTCATCACCATCACAATCACCATCATTATCGTCATCACCATCACAATCACCATCATTATCGTCATCACCATCACAATCACCATCATTATCGTCATCACCATCACAATCACCATCATTATCGTCATCACCATCACAATCACCATCATTATCGTCATCACCATCACAATCACCATCATTATCGTCATCACCATCACAATCACCATCATTATCGTCATCACCATCACAATCACCATCATTATCGTCATCACCATCACAATCACCATCATTATCGTCATCACCATCACAATCACCATCATTATCGTCATCACCATCACAATCACCATCATTATCGTCATCACCATCACAATCACCATCATTATCGTCATCACCATCACAATCACCATCATTATCGTCATCACCATCACAATCACCATCATTATCGTCATCACCATCACAATCACCATCATTATCGTCATCACCATCACAATCACCATCATTATCGTCATCACCATCACAATCACCATCATTATCGTCATCACCATCACAATCACCATCATTATCGTCATCACCATCACAATCACCATCATTATCGTCATCACCATCACAATCACCATCATTATCGTCATCACCATCACAATCACCATCATTATCGTCATCACCATCACAATCACCATCATTATCGTCATCACCATCACAATCACCATCATTATCGTCATCACCATCACAATCACCATCATTATCGTCATCACCATCACAATCACCATCATTATCGTCATCACCATCACAATCACCATCATTATCGTCATCACCATCACAATCACCATCATTATCGTCATCACCATCACAATCACCATCATTATCGTCATCACCATCACAATCACCATCATTATCGTCATCACCATCACAATCACCATCATTATCGTCATCACCATCACAATCACCATCATTATCGTCATCACCATCACAATCACCATCATTATCGTCATCACCATCACAATCACCATCATTATCGTCATCACCATCACAATCACCATCATTATCGTCATCACCATCACAATCACCATCATTATCGTCATCACCATCACAATCACCATCATTATCGTCATCACCATCACAATCACCATCATTATCGTCATCACCATCACAATCACCATCATTATCGTCATCACCATCACAATCACCATCATTATCGTCATCACCATCACAATCACCATCATTATCGTCATCACCATCACAATCACCATCATTATCGTCATCACCATCACAATCACCATCATTATCGTCATCACCATCACAATCACCATCATTATCGTCATCACCATCACAATCACCATCATTATCGTCATCACCATCACAATCACCATCATTATCGTCATCACCATCACAATCACCATCATTATCGTCATCACCATCACAATCACCATCATTATCGTCATCACCATCACAATCACCATCATTATCGTCATCACCATCACAATCA